CCCGGAATGGGATACCAGAATGGATTCAACTGGTCCAGTCAGTCCTTGTAACCATTTGGGAAAAGAACCAAAGGACGGAAGATCTCTCTAACTCAGCCTTTCAAATAAATCAATATATTTTTTTTAAAGATAAACCTTTATGCACCTCCCCCAAAGGCTAAAATAAGGAACATTCCTTACACCAAATGCTGAGAAAGTTGAGCAAGTCAAATTGGAAGTCTCGGACACGACTGGTGGCAATGCAGTGCGGTAGAAGCATTTTAGAAAACAGCCAGGCAGCTGCTTATAAACACTCATCAAACAACGCAGCGACCCCACTGTCAGGATTACTCACGTGAGGATTTAAAAGCGCCACACTCTAGTTATTTTTTCCAAAGTGCAAATAGTTTTGCTATTTATATCTTCTTTTCAGCCATCAGTGTTAAAAACTTCTCAATTTGCTTCACACACTTGTGAATACTATCCCCTCTAACCCTGAAGTCAGTAACACTCACAAGCACTAAGCAACAACACCACACAGTCTGGACCACAGTCTAGACCTGGGTATTTACTGGATCAACATCAGTATTTTAAAGAACATGAAGAGTCCGAAAATAAAATGTACTCCATCTAGTAAAGAAAATTCACATCTAAAAATGTTTTATTTTAGCTGTGTGTATTGTGGGATGCCATGTCAACATATTTTTTCTGTACATCATAGTCAAAATGCATATATTTTTTAAAAAATAGCAGTGTAAAATACCACTATAGCACTGTAACATTTTGTAGAAGTTCTATGTTACCAGAAGCTTCTGGAGTTCCTGGGCACTCTCAATTTATATCAAAATTTTAAAAATGTCCATAGCAGACCTATCGTGTCTATGGCTGTTAATACACATAACATCAGATCTCCTGAAGTGACTGTCAGCACATCCTATTCCATGTTTGTTATATCTGAGTTCTTTTTCACCACTAAAATTGCACCGCTTAAAATCTGTACTGACATCCCGAAACTAAAAACAAAAGTTCCAGTAGCTTTCTCCAGGGACTACAAGAAGACAGAAGACAAACCTTCTAGAACATACTGCAACCTGGCAACACACCACTCAGGCTCTATCATTCAGAATACAAGTGCAGCCATAACACACTGAGGGTAATTTACAACAAAGGTATCCATTTCCAAACATACGGACTTGTAATGGTGTTCAAAGGAAGGAGTTCCACACTCCACACAGGAAGACTTCTCAGGCTCCAGCAAAAAACGCTCACTGGCTGACTAATCATAATTTGAGCATTATTACATTATAGCAAACAATTCTCTTAAAGTTCCTTAAAATTACTTCATCAAACCCATCTCTTAATTAAGAAGGGTATTTCAAGGTGTAGGCAGTTCTGTCCCAAAGAAGAGAAATAAAGAGTAGAAATGAGAAATGTATAGAAATAACTGTTTCTTTTATAAAGAATGTTTATCTGGGGCAAGGATAAGAGGGCAGCAGGTTAAGCAGCCACCTGCAAAGCTAGTCCTTGTCCCAGCTGTTCCACTTCCCATCCAGCTCCCTGCTACCGTGCCGGTGACGTCAACTGAGGATGGTCAAACTGCTTTGGCCCCTGCACCCAAAGCTGGATACCTAGAAACCCCTGGTTTCAGCCCAGCCCAGCCCAGCCCAGCCCAGCCCAGCCCAGATAGCCCAGCCTAGCCCAACCCAGCCCTGCCTTTTCTATTTGCAGAGTGAATCAGCATATGTAAGCGTTCTCTCTCTCTCTCTCTCTCTCTCTCTCTCTCTCTCTCTTTAAACCTGCCTTTCAAATAAATAAATCCTTTTTAAAAAGCATGTTTGTTTTTTAAAACTTTACAAAATAGAAATGAAATATGTAATTATATTATAACAAGCACTAAATTCCAAAAGCACATTGCAGCTAGTATACAAGATGGACTTGGATTCTTACAACAAAAAGAAATGTTTTTAAAGCGACTCTGGAATTCAGATCAAGTTCACAAAACCTTGAAACCTGACTAGCTTTTGAATCCACGTGAGTCTACAGTAGCACTCTACTGGACCAGGGAAGCCTGCGGACTTCAGTCATAAACACACACATCTCCTCGATAAATAACACAAGAAATTACTGAAATCCATTCCCAGAACACACAAAAAGGTTGTATACACTATAATTTTGTTTTATGTGAAAAGAGGTATTTAATCGACTTCAATACAAAACTTGAATCCAACTGTGTATCCTTCTGACACTTAGAAACAAGAAGAGTGTTTCCGATTTCAGGAATTTTACCAATTCTGGAATACCCTGTACAAGTCGAGCATCTCTAACTTTGTTCTTATGATTTATTTATTATTTTAATTAGAAAAGTAAGTCAGATTTACAGGGAAGAGAGAGAGAAAGGCCTTCCACCCACTGGCACAACCCCCAAGCGGCCACAACTGCCAGAGCTGAGCTGATCTAAAGGCAGGAGCCTCTTCCAGACCTCCCACACGCACACAGACAGGGCCCGGCCCCAAGGCTCTGGGCCGTCCTCAACTGCTTTCCCAAGCCATAAGCAGGGAGCTGGACGGGAAGTAGAGCATCTGGGACCTGAACCGGCGCTCATATAGGATACCAGTGCTTGTAAGGTGAGGATGTAGCCACTGAGTCATCGTGCTGGGTCATACACAAAACTTTCTGAACATAAACATGGCACACATACAAAAAGAGTATCACATTCTGGAACATTTCAGATTTGCAGAACGAGGATACTCAATCTGTATAACCTACAGTAAAAAAAAATTTTAAATGTGTTACCAGCAATATCTTTCCACTCATTCCATCTCAATTTTTCTGTAATTTAGCAGTAATTCGTTATCAGAAATGCAAACAGAAATACATCAGCATTTCATTCAAGCTACAAAGCAATTACAACACCTACATGTTGAAGTGTTGAAAGCAATTTCCTACCTAAAATCTTCAGAGTTGGAATTCATATTTTAAAAGGAAGGCATTGCCATACGCATTTGACCCGGCGGTTCAAGCACTGGTCAGTCCCATAGGAGAGCACCCTGGGCTCAGGCCCGTCCAGCACTAAGCCAGCCTCCCACAGGCCAGCGGGTCAGTCCATAGGAGAGCACCCTGGGCTCAGGCCCGTCCAGCACTAAGCCAGCCTCCCACAGGCCAGCGGGTCAGTCCATAGGAGAGCACCCTGGGCTCAGGCCCGTCCAGCACTAAGCCAGCCTCCCACAGGCCAGCGGGTCAGTCCATAGGAGAGCACCCTGGGCTCAGGCCCGTCCAGCACTAAGCCAGCCTCCCACAGGCCAGTGGCTGTGCCCAGGTGCACCTAGTTGGAGTCCCACTCCCAGCTTCCAGCTGGCCCCGCCTGGGAATGAACCAACAGATGGGCACTCCAGCTGCCTGTGCCTGTCAAAAATGCGTGCTTATTACACCCTGACATTCATGGTCTTTTTTCTTCACGAGGTGCCTTTTCCAGGAACTTGCTGAAGACACCCCACAAGCACAGCTAAGACACAGAGCTTTTAATCACAAAACTTCTTCTACCAAAATTATGTTTTGATTCCATTTTCCACAAACTGTTAAGAAGTAAGAAGTACCATTAGATGCTGTGTAATAACTTAAAAGACACACTGGATCTATTTTTACTGCCATGGAAGGATCTCTAACATGTAGTGTAAAAAAAGCAAGTAGCCAAGCAGTGCTCCCACGGGACACAGGAGGCTCAGATCTGTCACCCACAGCTGCACCTTCTCTACCTCTTCACACACAGACGCACTTGCAGAACATAAAGGAAAACATCCTGAAGATTATTCAGGAAACAGAAGGCCTCTGAGGGCAGGGGCGTGAAGCAGCAACGGAACAGATCACAGGGATTTCGCCTCATGTTTATCGGGGTTTTGTTGTTGTTTTGTTTCAACAAACAGCATGCATTCCTATGTTAGGAAAACAGAAAAGATTTTTTATATCACATGTTAACTTCTTTCAAACTAGAACAAACCAGAACTGTTGGCTGTAAAGAGATTTCGCTTTCTCCTATTCTGTTTTTTCCGACTCAAACAACGACAACAAATACTTTCTTACCAAGCAAGAAGCGACAAAATTTGGGAAGAAAAAAATCTTATCTAATGTTGCCTGCAGCATCTCTAAATAGAAGAGAGACAAAAACAACGAAAGACTCCCTTACTAGGTCCACTAGGGAAAGAACTGTGACTTAGGAGTGGCCTCGGGCGTGACCCAGAATCCTCAGACAAGCATGTTGTCCCAAACAGCCCAAAGACAGCGTTCGCTCGGGTTGTTTTTAGAACGCTTAAAACAGTACATGCCGAGTGTGTTTTCCAGGGGTGCGAACGGGAACGCGAAACCCGACACGACCTTACAGGGTCGGAAGGCGCTGGGCACGGGGGCGGGGAGGGCTCAGGACCGATCCCTGAGGGCCGAGAGGTCCCGAGTCTGGTCAACACGGCGCGGATGACACCCAAGCCCTCGGCGGGGGCCGCAAGCCCTCGGTGGGACACACCAAGCCCTCGGTGGGTCGCCCCAAGCCCTCGGTAGATCACCCCAAACCCTCGGTGGGACACCCCAAGCATTCGGTGGACACACCAAGCCCTCGGTGGATCACCCCAAGCCCTCGGTGGATCGCCCCAAGCCCTCGGTGGGTCACCCCAAGCCCTCGGTGGGACACCCCAAGCCCTCGGTGGGGGCCCCAAGCCCTCGGTGGGACACCCCAAGCCCTCGGCGAGCCACGCACACTTGGGTGTCCGCCCATGGACAAGAGCGAGGGTGCCAACTTTGGCTCCCCAGTGCCAAGCCGCGAGCCACCCCGACCCCTTTCCCGGCCGCCGTCTCCGAGCGAATCCCCGGGCGGGCAGGGCGGCGGCTGGCAGCTTGCAAAGGGGGCTCGGGAGGCACGCGGCCGGCGGGGGAAGCGGGGTGAGGGGAGGCGGACGCCCCACCGGACGCCCTGCCGAGGCGCCGTCCCCTCCATCAGCCCCGGGGGCGCGACCCCGCCCCGGGGCCCCGCTCACCCAGGTAGCGGCTCCGCAGCCGGGACGGGTCCTCCAGCCCGAGCGACCTTTTCCTCACGTCCCACAACAGGTGTGGGCAGGAGCCACCCCGAGACATGGCTCTGCCGGGCCGGAGGAGACGGGGGAGGGGAGCGGAGGGGACGGGCGGATCAACACCCGAGCCGCACCGGCACCATGCGCGCGCTGCAGCTCGCGGGCGCAGCGAGTCAGACGGCGGCGGCGGCGCCCCGGCCCCCGGAGGCCGGCCGCGCCGGGCCCGGAGCTCGCCTCATCCTCTCCGGCTCACACTCGCCCGCACAGCCCGAGAGCAGCAACAGTCCCTCCCGGCCGCCCTCCCCGGGAGGAGGAGGAGGCGGCCCAGCTCCTCCCTCTGCCCCTGGCCGACACCCTCCCCGCCAAGCCCTTCTCGCGAGAGGACGACCACCTCCGGGAACTGAGGCGGCTGGACGTCACGGCTGCCCTCACCCTGGAAAAGTGGCTTCAGGCCACTCTAGCCAAGTCCTTGATTCCCTATGGATGGAAGAGCGGGAGAGAGAGAGGCGGGCCGCTGAGCGTCGTGGTCCCTCCACGCGTCTCAGGTCAAGGGAGGCCAGAGCTGCGCGGCGTCAACTTTAGTTGGGGGAAGGAAGGTTCGAAAAGCCCATATTAACTACGGGCTTCCAACAGCCCAGGCGAAGGGTCACGCGAGCGAGTGAAGCTTCACTTTCCCTTCTCCAACATGGCCTCGGGGGCAGGAAGGAGAGGAGGCGGGTCCTTCAGGTCCCCGCCCACACCGCGGGGCGGGCCAATGGCAGCGGGCCTCTCCTCCTGCGCACGCGCGCTGCCTGCGGGGCGCCGGCCGGACTCGGGGAGGCGGTCCCTTTCGGCACCTGTTGCCGGGACTCCTCCCCGGTCTCCCTGCCGGGAAGGCTGGAGGCGGACCCGAGCCTCCGCCCCCTGAGCCCTCCCGGGGCGCGGGCCGCTGGCTGGTTTGCCCAGGGCCAGGCGAGCCGCGGGAAGGGCACCCTGGGGGAAAGCGGCAGGGGACGGTGACGAGCTGCCCTTCGTTGTCAGTCAGGGCCGAGGACCCGGCGACGCTCCCAGCCGGCTGCCCGCGATCACCCGGCCGCCGACATGTCAGCCGCCGGCGCCCGAGGCCTGCGGGCCTCCTACCACCGGCTCCTGGATAAGGTGGAGCTAATGCTGCCCGAGAAGTTGAGGCCGTTGTACAACCACCCGGCAGGTAACGGGCCCGGCCCGGCTCCCGCCGAGACCTCTTGTCCTTCTCCCTCCGAGATGACTTAGCGCCCGGAGGCGTCCACTGCCCCGGGGTCCGTCGGTGTCGGAGGAGCGCCCTGCCTGACCTTTAGGGCATCCGTGCTCTCCCTCCTGGCTGGAGCCGGGACCTGGCCGCCCCTCCGGGTCCACCTCCCTGTCCGCGGCCCCGGGAAGCCCTGACGGGCCCCTGTCCCCCTGCTCGCACCCACGCGGGGCCGAGCGCGGTGGGTGGCTTGGAGCACCGCGGGGTGCGGAGTAAAGGTCACGGCCCCGCGAGGCCTGCAGGGTGAGCCCCCCGAAGCCGCCCGCGTTCCCGCGGTGTCACTGCGCATCCCTTCGGGCCAGACGCCGAGTTAGTCCTTGCATGTGGAGTGACTGGACAGGCTCTCCCTGGACGTGTGTGTTTGTGGCCAGGCCTGGGTAGCATTCTGCTTTAGCACTGGGCTGTAGGCATGACCTTGGCCTGAATGGGAGAGCTCTTCCTGTAGAATGTGGTGCATGGGAGAACTAAAGATAACCGTGTACTTCCTCGTAAATGCTCAGTGAGTGTTAACGCCATTGCCCTACTGCCAATCAAGATTCTTGCAGCTGAAAAAATAAATCTATGGAACTGGGTTTTCCAGCCTAGAAAACGGAGCTAATAAGGTCACCTCTGCAGGCCTGTTGCCAGAGACTGAGTCCGTGACACGTGTGGCACAGTGCTCACACTTAGGCTGTCAACAAATGCAGTTCTTTCCCACGTAAGCTTTGGAACAATATGCAGGGCAGGGCACCTCTCAGTGTAAATGTATTTAAGATTGAAAGGTTGTGGGCCAGGTGTGATGGCTCAAATGGCTAATCCTCCCCTTGCAAGTGCTGGGAGCCCATACAGGTGCTGGTTCATGTCCCAGCTGCTCCACTTCCCATCCAGCTCCCTGCTTATGTCCTGGGAAAGCAGTGGAGGATGGCCCAAAGCCTTGGGAACCTGCACCCGCATGGGACACTCGTGGGCACCCATACGGGATCCCGGCATGGGCAAGTCAAGGACTTCAGCCAACTTTCAGCATACTCCATTAAGATTCTAACATGAAATTTATAGATAACAGATTCTTAACTGCCCTGGACATTTAGGAAAGCTCCACAGACTTGCAGCAGGACCTGAGACCTCTGGACATCCTCTTAAAGGTAGCCTCATGGTCTTTTATCACAGATCAGGAGGGGATCCCATAGTGGAGCAGGATAAGAGGTCTGTATCCCTGGTCCCAGTGAGACCCCTGGTGGCCTCACAAGTGCTCTCACTGCAGAAGCGGTGGACACTTCACCAAGGGTTGTCGGAAAGGACACCAGGGTCCTGTCCCAACTGCCTAGGAGATCACAGGAGATTTGACTGCCCTCCAAGGCTGAGAACTCCAGGGCCAGCCATTTCCTGTTGGGTCTCCCAATCCGCACTGAAGCAGCCTGGGACCCTCTCACCTGGTCTGGTGACACATTGAAGCAGCACCCAGGAGCCCCAGGTGGTTCTTGGAATGAAAAGGAAGCCTGTTAAGTTTCCTTCCGGATGGACACAGGAGAGCAGCTTTCTGTCATTAGCTGTAGTTTTGGCTCCCTTTCCTCTCTTAGAGGGACCATGATGATCTCTCAGGAGCCTCAGGTTAGTCCAGATAATGACCCCAGAAGTTTGGAGCACCCAGGAAAAGAGTTGGGTGGCCTGTCTGCTCAGCTTGTACACTGGTCAGGCTCCCTACGGGCCTGTGTTTGCCAGTCTCTCTTTTAAGTTTTCTGCAACATTTTATAGGAGTAGAACACCTTGACTACTCTGATGCAGTTTAAGTCTTCCTAGAGTGCTAAGTTATTGGGAATTCCTCTGCTCACCTGCCTAAGACCTCTGTTCTCCGACTGTCAGTATTTGGCTTGTTAGAATTTAGGAGCTGTTGGATTACTTGCCACTGTCCTAAAGTGCATGAAGTTCTGTGAAAGTTTGCTAGAATGCTATAAACTGCTAGGTTATTGTAAATCACAACTTAAATCCTTTGCCATCCACAGTGTGACTCGTGTCAGAATCTTGTAGCAGGGTTTTTGCTGCTCTGCTTAAACATAAAGCAGTGTTCTAGGCTATATGTATTCCTGGGACTCTTAGGGTGTATATCAATTGGCAAAGCATCATCGTTTCAGGGAATCTAACCTGCTGAAATGCAGAAATGGCTTTAGCCTTTCCTAAATTCAAGTAAATTGAAATCATTATAGATTAAAATGTTGCATATGCTCTCCCAAAAGATTTTTCCTTAATTCAGAACTGTCAGTGCTAGACAAAATGTCACTCCATGGAAAATTTGAAGTTAAACCTGTATTTAAGTGTCCTATGTGGTGGACTGACAAACCTCATGTTAGTGCTAAGCCCCTCACTGTTTCTGTGATCTAGGTTACAATTTTTGTGCTGTCAGGGAAGCTTCATGTGTTCTGTTGCCTTTATTGAGTTAGTTGTTTATAAACTTCAAAACTAAATTGCTGAGGTCTAATGTTCACTCTGACAAAGGTTTAGCCCTGTCAGTTCTTTCACATCTACGCTCTAACGCTCAGGTATTCAAACTGGGGTTTCCGAATGAACCCATGACATACTAGATTGTGAGAAGTCATAGCTACATTTTATTGTTTAGACTTTGAACTAAGTTCTGTTTGCTTGTATTGCTTTTCTGTAGTCTGGAGGTGAATTGCGTGACTGCAAATCACAACTCATCATCGACATGCAGTCAGAGTAATTCTGCAAAATGCAAAAGACAGGGGAGATGACGGAACTGAGAGTGATCACAGGACAAGAAGACCTGGTAGGTATCTCGGAGCAACCCAGTCCTAAGGCTATGCCTCCCTCTCCCTCCGGTTGTAAGTGGGTTGTAAATGATGGAAGCAGACCCCCAACCCGAAGGCCATCTCTCTCCCCGTGTTCAGCTTGGCTATGTTGCTCTTCTTTTTTTGGCTTTCTTCAATATTTAACAATAATTAACACAGGAAAACCAACCCCAGATACTCTTAGTTCTACCCAAGATAGTGATTAACGAAAAGCTTGCATATCCTGTCCTTAGTACCAAGAACTCTGTCACACTGACTTTTTGGGATATTAAAGTCTATGTTCTTCGACAAGGCGTGCCAGGCTAAAAGCATGCATAATGGCCACAGTGTAGTTTAATAAGATCATTTCTCCATTAAGCATCTTTGCATTGTCTGTTCGATCAATCTTGATACACTTCTGGGTTCAATTCCTGGCTCCTGCTCCCAATTCCAGTGTCTTGCTAATGCACACCCTGGAAGAAAGTGATGTCTGTAGTAGCTGGGTGCCAGCCACCCATGAGGAACCCTGAATTGAGCTCCATGACTTGGAAGTGCCTAGCAGAGTCCGTGAGATATAAGCAGGCTTCCTGTAAATGTTTCTGACCTTCGTCTCCATCGTGAGGACAGACAAGCCACAGTTGTCTTCTTAGAGGTAACAGTATGTGGGGCCGATGCAGTGGCTTAGTTCACCTGCAAGCACCAGCATCTCTCATGGGCTCTGGTTCAGGTCCCACCTGCTCCACTTCTGACCCAGTTCCCTGCTGGTGGCCTGGGAAAGCAGTGGAGGATGGCCCAGGTCACTGGGACCCTGCACTGACAGGCTTGTGGCTCCTGATAGGCTATCATGGCCATTTAGGGAGTGAACCAGCAGTTACAAGATCTTGCTGTCTTTCCTCTCTATAAATCTGCCTTTCCAACCAAAATAATAAATTAAAAAGAAGAAGAAGAAAGAATGGTATGTTTGATTTGGGCCTCAGTTTGGAATTCTGAACTTTTTTTTTTAAGATTCATTTATTTCTATTTGAAAGGAAGATATACAGAGATAAGGAGAGACACAGAGGAAGATCTTCCATCCGGTGGTTCACTCCCCAAGCGGCTGCAGTGGCTGGAGCTGAGCCAATCCAATGCCAGGAGCCAGGAGCTCTTCGAGATCTCCCATGTGAGTGCAGGATCCCAAGGCTTTGGGCCGTTCTCAACTGCTTTCCCAGGCCATAAGTAGGGAGCTGGATGGGAAGTGGGGCTGCCAGGATTAGCACCAGTGCCCACATGAGATCCCAGCATGCTTTCCCACCAGGCCCTGGAATTCTGAGCTTTTTTTTTTTTTTAAAGATTTTATTTTTATTATTTTTTCATTGGAAAGGCAGATATACAGAGAGGAGAGACGGAGAGGAAGATCTTCCGTCCGATGATTCACTCCCCAAGTGAGCCGCAACAGTCGATGCTATGCCAATCCGAAGCCAGGAGCCTCTTCCGGGTCTCCCACATGGGTGCAGGGTCCCAAAGCTTTGGGCCGTCCTCGACTGCTTTCCCGGGCCACAAGCAGGGAGCTGGAAGGGAAGCGGGGCTGCCAGGATTAGAACCGGCGCCCATATGGGATCCCAGGCGTGCAAGGCTAGGACCTTTAACCACTTGCGCCACCGCGCCAGGCCCCATCCTTAGGTTTTGAGGTCCACAAAGGTCCTAGAGTCCATCTGTGTGTGTACTTGTCATCTGAAGGCTGCTTCTGCTTTGGCTTTCATATCAAGGAGCATTGATGCAGGGAGCGTCAGAGCAGCTGTTTTGTTCTGCTCTTTGTTTTTTTGTTTTTTAAACAATCTTTACATGGTTACTTAGGGCACAAAAGTTCAAGGGCTACAGGAAAGTGGGTAAGACCACTATTTCCACATTCTCTTCTTTTTCTGTATCTGGGATAAATGGGGAGATAAAGGGAGAAGCTCCACCCAGCCTCCCACCCGTCCCAGGTCCCTGGTGTGGGTAATGTTCTGAGGTCACTGCTCAGGTGGTTTTGATAGTTCAACAGCTATGAATTGCTGCCATTCTTGCCATTCCAAGCACGAAGAACTCGCTCCAGAATCTACTGATTGACATAATCCATCTTAGATTCTCCGTTTGGCCAGTTTTTCACTGCCAACACATGGCTGGGGTAGTTGATTGAATTGTCCTGTCCTCTGTTGTGGTAACAGGTGTCCCCTGCAGGTTCCAATAGACTGCCAAATCCTCCATGTGCATCTGGATGTGCTGTCCGCTGCTCCGTCTGAGACTCTGAGGAGGCTCGGCTCTGGCATTTGCACTCCATGGTCAGACCACAGAACCTGCACTTCTCTTCATGATTGGGGTTCTGAGCCTGGCAGTTCGATTGGGGAGATCTGGAGGAAGTTCCTGGCTCCTGGCTTCAGAGCGGCACAGCACCGGCCATTGCACTCACTTGGGGAGTGAATTATCAGACAGAAGATCTTCCTCTCTGTCTCTCCTCATCTGTATAACTGACTTTGCAATAAAAATAAATAAATCTTTTTTAAAAATTCAACTTTAGGGCCTGTTCCCATGTCTCAGTGGCTAAATCCTCACCTTGCAAGTGACAGGATCCCATGTGTGTGCAGGTTCATGTCCTGGCTGCTCCACTTCCCTTTCTAGCTCCATGCCTGTGGCCTAGGAAAGCAGTGGAGGATGACACAAAGCCTTGGGACCCTGCACCCATGTCGGAAACCAAGAAGAAGCTCCTGGCTCCTGGCTTCGAATCAGAGCTCAGCTCTGGCCATTGCAACTGCTTGGGGAGTGAAGCTGTTCAAGGAAGATTTTGCTGTGTCTCTCCTTTTCTCTGTAAATCTCCCTTTCCAACAAAAATAAACCTTTAAAATTAATTTTAAAATAGTAAGCATCTAAGTGTTAATGTGATTGTGGTATAAATAAGAACATTTAGAAAATCAAAACATAATTTAAGCTACTGAAAAATAAATCATCCTGGGCCTGGCACAGTAGCCTAGTGGCTAAAGTCCTCACCTAGCACGCCTGGGATTCCATATGGGTGCTGATTCATATTCCAGCTGCTTCACTTCCCTTCCAGGGACATCTGCTGGAAGCCTGCTCTGACTGACTCAAGAGCTTGCAAAGGATGCGTGGACCAGCGAGACGATAAGAAGAAGAGATTAAGTCGTGGACCACTATGGCTTGATGCTCATAATGGACAACTCAGAAAAGTTGCTTTCTTTTTTATACACAAATCATCACAAGCTTTTGCACAACATCCAATTGTTTCATTTTTACTTCATTACAAAAGAATGATTACAAAATTAATCCTACAAAACATTATTCTTATTTTACTTCAGAGAAAATATTTTCAGCAAGCTATTACTCATTCAAACCTGCAGTGACCTGGCAGAAGCCAGGAACTCCACAGTTGGCTACACATAGTGTTACATAGTGGCAAGTGGTTTACTTATATTTAAAATCAATTTTTACTAAGCACAAACTAACTAATATTGCTTAAAATATTAAGAGTACAGAGTTAAAAGATCATGAATGAAAGGAATTTATAAAAGCATATAACATAGATTCTTTGCTAAGTCTTATAATCAAATCATGCATTAATTACCGTCACCTTCACCTAGTGCTGATTCAATTGGTTTTTGTTCTTAATGTTGATTTAATTGTTTTTTGTTCTTTTGTTAAAGGGCAGTGAGAGGGATCAAGGCAACTCAGGCAATCTACATACAGAGGGCCTTTACAAGAAACTTTTATCTTTATAAACTGTTTTCTTTCCCTAAATATAAGTGTCAATATAAGGCTGAGATTTTAAGCCATTTTGAGGGGATTCACATTTGTTTCCCTTTAGAAGATGCCCCATATACTCTCTGTTTTCTGTGGTGAGAAACCAAAATGCGTCATTTCGTGTGTTGTAACAGTTTAAGGCGCATGGTAAACAAACTCTTTGTACCTCCATGATTGCCATCTGTTCCAAGATATTATCAAGCCATTTCATAAGGAAAACATTACTTATATTAGGGCAAGCTTCAGGACAAAGGTGGGCACATAGCAGAATGTTTGGAGGCATTGTGAGCTCAATTGCACTATTGTATGCTTTTAGCTGTGTGTCATTGCCTTACGTCACTAAAGATGTTTTTATCGTAACATGATTGATCAGTTTGAGGTGTTATATAAGTTACAGGAATCACTTCACATTAGCAGAAAAACAGCCAAAACACCCTCAGGAGAATTCTATGAAACATCAGAGAGGTGATTGAGTGTCCATACAATGGGTGATGCAGCAATGAGGTGACCAGAGACACTCTGCCAGGCCTTGCCTCGCAGCCAGAAACTCCTCGCAGCCTTGCTAACCAAGGAGCGGTGCTTATCACGCACCCATGCCATCCGACCCAACTGCGTGGCTCCCGACAGAAATCAGTGGAGGATGACCCAACTACTTGGGCCCCTGAAACCATGCAGGAGAAGCTTTTTACTTTTGCCTTTGTACTAGCCCTTCTTTGGTTGTTTCAGCCATTTGCAGAGTGAACCAGCAGATAGAAGATCTCTCTGTGTGTCTCTTTCCCTGTAACTCTGATTTCAAATAAACACATAAGAGTGCAATGGCTCAGCAGCTAATTCCTCCTGTCCTGGTACATTCCAGGATCCATGTGAGTACTGGTTCATGTCCTGCTGCCCCACTCCCTTCCAGCTCCCTGCTTGTGGCTTGAGTGGGCAGAGGATGGCCCCAAATCTTGGAACCCTGCACTCATGGGGGAAGCCTGGCCCTGATTTTGGATAAGCTCAGCTCAGGCTGTTGCAGCAGCTTAGGGAATGAACCAGAAGATGGAGGATCTTTCTGTCTCTCCTCTTTGTGGATTTGCCTTTCTAATGGAAATAAATAAATCTTCAAATAAATACATGAATCCTCTTTTAAAATAAATACATGATCTTTTTTTTTTAAAGCCACTTTCTTAAAAAACCTTTTGCTATGCCACACTGATTTTCAGGTTATCATTATATGTATATGGGTGGAAATGGGGATGGCCTTGTGGCATTGCAAATTAAGCTTCCTCTTAAGACTCCTATAACCCATATGGGCTCCAGTTTGTATTCTGGCTACTCCACTTCTGATCCAGTTCCCTGCTATTGCACTTGAAAAGCAGCAGAAGATGGCCCAAGTCTTGGGACGCCCTATAATCCGGGTGGGAAAACAGATCCAGCCCTGGATTTTGTGGCCATCTGGGGAGAAAACCAACAGTTGGAAGATCCTTTGTTCTCCCTTTCTTGAACTCTGACTTTAAATAAATAGATGGGGCCGGTGAGTTAAAGGGGCGTTCCCAGTGGGTCCATGGCCATTGGGTTGTCCCTGCCTCCTTTGATCTGGGCTGGGCCTGCTGCTTCCACAGCTGCACCTAACCTGCCTGGGGGGTTGGGATGGGGAGGAAGGGACAAAGTGATGCCACCGCTGCCACCTCTAAACTGGTTCTAGCCCAGTCCCAGGCCTTAGGGGTGGTGCCTCCATCTTGTGCCTGTGCAGCTAGGATGCCAGTCAGATGTCACACCTGTGTCTCCTGCCCAGGTGCTGGCATGGTGTACAGGGACCCTGGCCATCGGCCTTCCACCTGTCCCTGGGCATTCTGGACTAACAGGAGCATTTGCTCAGTTCAGCCACCTGTTTTGTGAGCTAAGTGATGTACTGGCCTGGCTGGGGCCACTGAAGCATGGTCACAGGCTGCAAGGGACACCTCGGGGATCCTGGGGTCGGCCTCGGGGCTCTTTGGAGGCTGCCTGACACCAGGATCATGAGTCTTGTAGGGCCCAGGTGAGCCAAAGCAAGCCGGTGCCATGAAACTGAACGAAGCAGCCTGACCTTCTACCCACGTGTGATGAGCCCATGGATCACGAGGGCTTCCTGAAAAAACAGGGTGGCAAGCTAGCAGCCTCGCAGCAGCGCTGATTCGTATTGGCGGCAACTTGCTCTTCTAATTGCAGGAGCCGGCAGCATGCCAGCCGCTGGGCATCATCCTCTCCAAGGGCTGCACAACGGAGCTGGTGGCGGCTGCCAAGGACTTCGCCTTCACCGTGTGCCTCACTGGCGCCCGGGCCGGCGCCTGTGTGCTGGCTGATGAGAGCCAGGTCGCCCTGAAGGGTTGAATGAAGGCCTTGTCATGGGCCAGCTTCAACTACCTACCTGTGCCTGGTGGTGTGTGAGCTGGAGCAGCCGGTAGCTGCCATGCAACCAGAGTCCTGCACTGCCCTGCCTGCCAGCTCAGGGCGCTCCCACTCAAGGAAAATGGCTGTCTGGAGCACCAAGGTTTCCACAGATGTCCCCAATGGAGCCAGGGCCGGACCTCCACAGCTACACCCGTGCTGTCAGGCCTCCACGCCCCATGGGCCCCTGGACACGGTGCCCTTCGCACGGCCATATAGTGGTACAGGCAGGAGTTCCAAGCGCTGTGGGCCCAGTGGCTGTCACCGCACCTGATCCTGAGATTGCCAGGGCCCTGACTGGGGAGACGCTGTTGACTTGCAAACTGGAAGTGGCCCAGCTACGGGTGCTCCAGACCCCACCACATCTACAGCTGGGGTGTGACAAGTACGTGGCCCTCATCCTGCCCTGGCAACTCCTGTGTGATCCCTGAGTGTGGACAGAACCCAACTGTGGTGCGCCATTCCTGGTCCTGCCTGCCTCTGAGCCAGCAGGGTCCACAGACAGCCTCCTGACTGTGGGACTTGTGTCCTTTGGTCCCTCTCCAGGAGCAGCCCGGCTACCCAGACCGGGGGGCGGTGGGGGGGGGGGGGAAGGGGAGTTCTTGGCAGCTCACCTGACCACCAGAGATGGGCTGGGCCCTGGAGGCCTGAACTGAACCCTGGGCAGAGCCCCCCACCCCGCCCCCCCGGGAAGGCGAGGCCAGAGCTGACTCTCCACCCCGGAAGTGCGCAGGTGGTGACTGGGGATGGACCTGAGGCTCCTGAAACTTGCTCACCCCGTGCTCCTCTGCCCAGGCTGAGCAATGGCCTTCTCTCACTGCACAACTTCACCTGGGAAGAGTTGAGACACCTGACCTTGCCCTGGAATGTTTACAGTCGCAGGAACCCTGGAGATGCTGCCTGCTGCCTGGCCTCTGCCTGCCTCGCTGCCCCCTCCTCCCTGTTTGGGGAACCTCGGGGCTGGGGGCTGCAGGGAGATTCTGATCTCTAAATCTCTGGGGTAGCCTTTCTTCTGGGGGATGGAGCTATTGGCAGGGGGGCTGGCATTACTCCCCAGGGATGGGGTGGGAGGGTCTCCACCTGGCGCTCTGGCCCCTCCCCAGCAGGTGCCTCTGGGGTTGTGCTACATTGCCCACCCTTTCCCACCTTGCCAGATCTCTTAGGAGCTGACCAGGGCCAGCCGGTGGGATGTTAGCACCAATGGTGGCATGGATGCACAGTCTCCCAGGCCTGGGCAGTAGTGGGGGTGCCCCACCTCAGAGTAGGATGTATGGTCTTGCTGCCTCGGGTGGGCAGGGCACAAGGACTCCAACAAAGGTTCATGCAGGAAAAATAAATAGATGAATAAATAAATCTTTAAAAAATATAGAAGAACATAGCTGGAAAGGCAGTCATGTAATTCTTCATATGAAATTTCACACCTTACAAAACTCTTTGATGCTAGTTACTGAATTCATCCATTTTATTGTTGATAAATTTGATAGTCCTTGAACAAACCATAGTAAATATATTTCCTCCTTACCTGAGAACACAATATTTCCAAACCCTACATTCGCTATGTTTCCAGTATATACATACATATGATAATGCGTAATTTACAAATTAGGGTCAAAAAGGCATTGACAACAATATCGATAGAACAACTAGGACAATAGACTATAATAAGTTATTTGAATGTGATCACTCAGCTGCCATGATGTAGGACACACATACACAGCGTGGGAAACACTCAACCAAGGACGAATTCACAGCCCAGGCCGGAAGGAGCAGGATGGCACGTTTCATCACCTACCTACAATTAAAAATCTGTCATTTGTTTCTGAGATTCTTAGTATTTCCAGGCCTGTTGCTGACCACGCAGGGAGGGGTAAGCTATTGTATTGACTAAAGCTGGGTGCCTGTTTCTCTTGGTGATAATCATCTACTAACTATTGTCTCATTTCAATCACGTGGTCAGAAAATGAGTTGTGTAAAGTACTCAGGGTCATTTCAGTCTCC